CCGATCATGCCGAAAAAATTACCGGCCGAAAAATTTTTCGGCAAGTTTTTTTATAGGTGTCCCAGGAATAATGAAAACAGCTGTAAGCGAAATTATTTTCCAAATCCGAAATACATTAGTTTCCCCAATTTGATCTGCAAATGATCTGCAAATTCGGCAGAAACACTAGTACGTATATGCACAGTTTAGCCCTGATGGTTAACGGGTGAAATATGTACAAAAGCATGTAGATGTTATTAATGAAGGGCTTTGAGACATTTCATTGTCTTCCTTCCTTATATACATGATTATGGATAATTATTTATGCGTTCATATTAACAGATCTTGAATAAATGTGTTTTCATATTAACTAAATTATAAATCATGATTACTACCTACTAATCTACATCGCAACAGCGGGCGATAATTTTATTATAAGCGGATAGAATAAGTCTTCATTTCTAATACATATTGCTCTGTGAATAAATATTCCTTTATTGATAGAATCCAATTTTCTTAAAATATTTTTTATGATAATTGAGATGTTCATTAACTTTTTCTACGTCACATCAAGCAAGAATGGACAAATTTCAAATGTTTTTTATGTCTGGTACATTATTTCTTTTATTTATAATTAAGACAGTAGTTGCATTTGTACCCACCAGTCGTTATTCTCAGAGCAGCGTAATTATTAAAACTAAAATATACTACTTAGGTGGTATAGACCTTACGGGAAAAGGCGCAAATAGTTTGTTCTATTTGGATGTTTCTTCTCCATTCGATTCCACAAATCCCAAATGGACTGATCTTACTAGTGTCGCACCTATTCCTGTTAATAGTGCGTTCGCACCTTCTTGTGTTGGTGGCAGCAACAACTCTACTATTTTTTTATTTGAACATCACAAGACAAACAATGATAATTCGACCTCTTTTACTTTTGATTCAACTTCTCAAAAATGGTCTGCTCCAACAACATCAGGTATTATACCACCGACCAGACAAGAGATGAGGGCAATTGTTGATAAAAATGGTAAAATATATATCAATGGTGGATACGAACCATATATAAGCATGAAATCATATAATAATACTTACATATTGGACTCTTTGAGCTTATATTGGGCTAATGGTCCTAATGCTTTGATCGTTCGATCTGATTATTCTGCCACTCTTTTATCAAGTGGTGTTATCGTATATATTGGAGGAACAAATGACGACAGATCACCAGAAATTGATATGAATTCAGTAATTAAATTTGATGATTATGTTAAAGCTCTTTAATATTATTGTTTTTTTTTTAATTATCACTTTTATTATTTCTTTTAGCTTTCAATTTATGACACGAAGATTGGAGCTTGGTCATCAATGGTAAGTAAATTATTTTGCTATATTAATTTCCAAGGTATTTATAAATCTCCAGGTATTCATTAATTACCGAGGTAAAAGTAATCTTGAAAATAATCGTAAAAAGTAAACTTAAAAATAAACTTAAAAATAAACTTCAAAATAATCTTAAAAAGTAAACTTAAAAATAAACTTAAAAATAATCTTCAAAGTATTTAATATTGTATTTTTTTTGTGTGCGAATTAGACTGCAACTGGTGACGTGATTGCGGCCCGTCAATCTCATTCGGCTGTGCTAAGTATGTAAAGATACTGAAGTGTTCCATATATTTTTTTTTATTAAAAACTTATAAGCCTCGCTATTTGTATTAGATAAAAATGGATCTATTATTATTTATGGAGGTGGGGCCAATAATTACACTGTTGCTCCAAATCCTCCTTTGGCTATATTGGATACGAACTCTGTACCTTACAAGTGGTCTGCCAAACCATTTACTAGCACGGTTGCACCGCCACCACTTGCCTATCATTCAGCTCAAATGGTTGGGGAATACATGATTATAGCATTTGGTGATTATATTTGTTATTTAAAAAAATATTCTATATCTGTTTATTTGTTTAAGACTTATTAAATTGTTTGATTTTTAGGTGTTGGTATTTTAAATGCGAAATTTGATTTAGCAACTGCCCCAAATAATAATATTTTTATATTAGACACTACAAATTATACATGGGTTACGTCCATTGTTTCTCCTAATCCTTCTGTCAACGGTTCAATTAATCTAATACCAACAAATACCAATTCAAATTCAAATTCAAATACCAACTCAAATAATTCATCTAACAATTCACCTCTTATCATTCCATTAATTGCTGGTTTAGGCAGCTTACTTGGTGTTTTTCATCATCGTTGCAAGCATAATAGGCATTGTTTTTTGTTGTAAGAGAAAGCGTCCTGATTATATGTATTATATTCCTACACCAGGCACTATTAGAAATGAAATGTAGCATAACAAAAAGTTACTTGTTTATATTTCACCCACTAATATTATCTGATATGATAACCTATCGCTATGTGAAAATAGTATTTTATCACATTTTAATTAGCGATTTATTAGCGATTTGGACTGACCATCGTGACTTACCATATGTGGTCGTGCAACATTTATGTACATGATCATTTCATTTTTGGCTCTCTCATGCAGAGATCGACGTAAAAAATTTTCCATCCGAAGCCCAAAAAAGGAAATATTTAGTCCCGCCATTTTTTATATAGATTACATGATATAGCGAGAAAAAAAAAAAAAGATATTGCGAACCATATAAGATAACTTACGAATTGTGGTAAAAAAGCATCTTTTAGATGTTTATATAGTTGACCCGAATATATAACTGTTAATGGTTTTGTAAGTTTATATAGTCGTTGCTTTAAATCTCAGTGCAAAAGTTCACCACTAACTTCATAAAAATTTTTATATAAAGTTTGACTTACTATAAATTATGAACCAAAAAGGCATTTTTGAAAGCAAGATTCTTTTCGAGCTTATTATTTTCCTACTTTAAACATAAGGATAAATAAAGAATTTGTCTTTCTGAATCATTTTGTGTTGTTACAGAATGCGGTTTCCTTTTAGGAAACCCCTGAAAATGATGATTAAAAATGGCCTACCGTTGTAATTTACTATAAAAATTGAGAATTTCATATGAGTGTTGATCACTCAAATTTTCATAGTAAAAAAATTATTTATCTGATCTGTGTGACATCTTGATCGACTGATAAGTATGTACATCCTACATGCGTAGACTAGATTGTAGCAACTTTTTATCATATATGGGGCTTACACATCGATTTACATGTCCGGATTAAACATTGCTGGTAATTTCCTTATGAGGCAATTTCGCTATAAATTCATAATGTTGGTCATACTAATGGTATATTTGGATGTTCAATAAATATTTGGTCAATTGTTCCAAACAATTTGGTCTTTTGGTTGTATTGTATATTATCTTTAATTTGCCGAATCTTTAATTGATATTGTTCCTTCTTTGTTTTAAGTTTCATTATAGAATAAACAAAGTCTTGATTTTTCAATAGTTTCATAAGTTCTGAATCTGATATTTTCTTAAGTGTCAGATTTTCTTTTAATATTTTGGATGCATGCATTCGGTTCTGAGGTCAGAATGCTGCTAAATACTTATAATTATAATGGCCGTTAAGAAGTCTATTGACTCTATTGATTTTATTCTGTATTTGACCTTTTTTGTATTCAAGGTGTTTTTTGTATTTTTCTATTTGTAGAATTTCAATTCTTGGTGTAGTTTCTACTTGTTTATGATGAGTAGTAAATTCGTAATCTGTTATTATTAGTAGTTTTTCTTGAATTTCGTCTTCGTCTGCTAAGCTTTCTATTTCTTCGTAAGGGTACTTAGCTTTGTAGTTTATAAAATCTTCAGTAAGTTGTTCTTCATGTTGTATTTCTTACATTTTGACAAAGTATTGGTATATTCTATCAAATATTAATTCCAGTGGTTGTTTTATTATTGGTATGAGAGTTAATTTTTTTATTTCATCATAAGTATACCATTCCCATAGTGTTGCTTCTTCTGGTTCGCATTGTTTCAATTTTTGGAATATATTGCATAGATAAATAAATACAGTTCTTCATGTTTTTATTTGGCTTCTGTTGGTGAGCAGTATTTTTCTACTACCCATTCTTGTAAGCTTGGTTTAAATTCAGTCCATACTTTGATTAGTAATTCTTTTTCCATTAAAATATTGGCTTCTTCTAAGCCTTCTCTGATTGCTGTATATTCATTGCTTTCACATAGTTTTTCATTTTCGTCTAATTCTCCTTTCCCTCCATATCCTTGGTAATGATTCCAAAATACTTTCTTTGAGTTAATTCTTTTGGATAATCCTATTTGGTATCCTTTTTCTGGGTGATATCTAAATGGTGCAGTTTGTATGATTCTCTGTTCTGATAATTTTAGATGTGTTATTAAGGATTGTGCTAAAAATTCTAGTTTCCTGCATGTATTGCAATTTTCATAATAAATTTCTTGATCATTTTCTATTTCTTTATATTGCGCCATTTCTTGGAAATTATTGCAACTAGTGCATTTCCATGTTATCCCATATTCTGGGTCATTAAACATTAGTAATTGTTCTATTTTCTTCATTTAATTGTTGTATTGTGAATTTTACAAATTCTAGATTGTATATTTCTGCTTCTGTTAATTCTTTTTCTTGTTGTAATCTTAATCTTTTGTTTAATCGATATTCTTTCGACGTTTGTCTCTGTACTCCTAAAGTTTCTCTTCAGTTATAGCTTTTACAACATTTTAATTCAATAGTTCCTTGTTTCTGGTTCATACTATTTATAATTATTTCTACAAGTATAGCAAGTTTTTAATCTTTTTCCTTCTTTAATAAATTCTTTTTGTTCTCATATTTTTCCACAGGTTGAACAGCGGATAGGTATCTAAATGAAAATTTCTCTTCTTCATCCGTAATTATTTCTACTAATTGTTTTTGGTAGAACTTTTGTATCCAATCTCTGCACTTGTTACAGGTTTTGCTTATAGATCTGTTTTTGTTTCTTGAATAAGTTCCTTTAGGTGTTTTATACTTACAACACCTTTTAACGATTTTATCTCTATTATATATTTTCTTCGTTTTCTTTTGTTTAGTCATCAATCTTTCTTCCAAAATTGTTTATGAAATCCTTTGAATTCTTGGTAGTTTTTCACTTCCTAGTATTGTTCGTCTATATTATAGTTTGTTATTCTACAGTATAGATCGTTGATTGTAGTTTGTATGCATAATTGTAATCCTTCACATATCTACTTTAATCTTTCTTCTTCGCTTCTGGTAAAAGTATATCTATCTGTATTAAGATATAATCCAAATAAGTTGTAGTATTATGAATTATTTCTCTAGAGGTTTCAATTAGGTAAGCTAAATAATTTGTTTCTGATTCTTTGTGGAATAGAGAGAATAGGTTGTGTGGATTATGTTCTGCTTCCTTTCTTAATATCTCTTCAAGAAATTTGTCTTCTAAGTCTTTTCGTGTTTGTGAAATTTCTTAATTGATTCTTCAATTGTGTATTCTTTATGTGGTAAATTTTGAAATCCTTTAAGTTCATAATATAGATCAAAATACTTTTCTATATTAATAAGTTTCCACTTGAACTTTATTTATAATAAATAAAATAGTTTCCTTGCACATATGAAAATTTGTGCCAAATATGAGCTTCAGATTGATCTAATGTATAGTTAAAATTATCTAATAGAGTGATAATGTAAAAATCTTTATTTGCTAATAATGCTTGTAATTTAGTTGTAGTTTTCTCAAGTTCCTTATTTTCTATAAATGTTTCTTGGTATATGAGTACTTGGTTTGGTTCTGTAGTCATTAAATTTACTACAAAATGTTCTATTTCTGAAATTTCTTCTCTTAATTGTGAATAAGGATGTGTGTCCTTATCAAATGATACAAATATTTGATTTTGTTGTATATCTGATATTCTTCTGAAATGTCCTTTCACTGTAGATATTATTCATACTACAAATTTACTGAATACTAGTTCTTCAGATAATTGTATAAGTCGTATTTTTGCAGTTATCTGTGACTTTATTATTGATATTGAATTTGTTTCAGATAAAACTGGTATATTATTATTGAAGAGTTTCTTGATTCTCCAGTCTAGATGTCGTAGTATTTGATGTTTCTTAAAACTAACACTATAGTAATTTATTCTAACTAGTTTGTCAGAATATGCTATAACTTGTTCTTCTTCATTTTTCTCAGATATTGGTGATGTAGTAGGTGTATCTATTATTATATTTTCTGTTGATACCTTTTCTGGTTCAATGAAGGTTTTGTATATTAATTCCAGTTTAGTTTTATAAACTTCTATTTCTTTGTTTGAATATGATAAATTACTTATTGGCAATTTCTTGTGCTAGTGTTAAGCAATATACTTGTAAGGTTTTCAAATATATTTCAATATTTATAGTGTTAACTACTAGTTTCTGGTATGCAACTCTAATATTTCTATTCTTTTCTTTTAGGTTAAAGTAACTTTGTATTCCTTTTAGGGTTGTTAGGTAGTTTTCCAATACTTGAATGTGTTTTAATAAATTAATATAGGTTTGAACTTTTTCTTCAGTTATCTTGAAATTTAGGTTCTTGTTGGTTGTGGTTTTTCTGTAGATCCTTATAATAAGTTCCTTCTAGTAGTTGTTCTACTGTTGGTATTAAACACTGTCCTCTGTAATATTGTCCTAGTCATTTTTTGGTATAAGTATTTTATTATATCATGAACTCTATTATAATATTGTTTGTGATAATGTTTCCTTCTAAATTCTTATTCCTAATATTTTGGTTCTTGCAATTTCTTTCTCGTCTTTGTCTAATGATTTTATCTCAATATAATCTTGGTGTGTTTTTAAGCCAAATAGAGTATTCTTTTGATTTGTATGTATTATTTAATTCTAAAGGTTTTTCTTTCTTTTTCTAAAATTCGTTAGTTATTTCTTTGAGTATTACTTCTTTTAAAAAGTATAACAAGTGTTGAGTCCTTGCTTCTATTTCATAAAAGGTTAAAGTCTTTTTATAAAGCAATTCTGATCTTTCTTCTAGTGGTAAATATTCTAGGTGAGTGATATAATCTCTTGTTAAGTTTTCACAAAATCTGTAAACTTTTTCTTCATAATTATTTTCTATTTAACCAATAGTTTTCTATTTTTACTAGGAAAAATAGAGTATTTAGTTATTTGGTTCAGTACTTTTAATTCTTCTTCTTTGTTAGTGATTACTTTAGCTCCTTCGTTAAATAATATATCTTCTGCAATAAAGATGTTAAAATACAGTAGTCTTTTTAAGTCTTCTGATATTTCTAATGCATTGCAAAATCTTTCTCTGGTTAATTTTAATTGTAGGGCTGTTGTAGTTAATCTTTCTATCTGTTTCTTTTCTTGATCCAGGTTATTATTTGTTGCAGGT